TTTTTTTTTTTTTTTTTTTTTTTTTTTTTTTTTTTTTTTTTTTTTTTTTTTTTTTTTTTTTTTTGTTTACCAACTTGTGAAGTATAACTGTTACAGAGTAAACGATTTTTCAACTGGTATATACAAGAACGATAAGTAAGTGCAGGATAACTTACTGCAAAGGAATAGACATTTCAAGAAGTTCAATCCTTACCTTACTTACATCCTATGAGGTTCATCTTCACAGCTTCATGCTTCTACCACTACACAAATTCGAGCCTCTGCAAATAAGGTTATTAAAGGAGAAGGCATAGCTTCAAACTATAATCAAAACTTCCGCAGGAAGTCGGAAGAACAAATAGAGATGGAACGCTTCTACAAATTCAAATGAAAATAAAGTGTGGATTGAACTGAGAACAATATCATAAATATAATGGACATTGAGTTGGAAATAAATAAAAAGAGTATCAAACGAAATCCTTGCAAATTCTGCTTCCATTTTGCAACTGATAGTTTACAAGAAAAATCAGTAAGTGTTGAGAGAAATACTTACATGTTGGTGAACAAAAAATAGATGGATGAAAGAAAAAGAGACTCTAATTGTTTAAAGGTGGCAAATTGAACTAGGCAGCAGGAGGCCTGAGCTCATGATCTTGAGATGTATCGCGTACTGATGGAGGAAGATATTGCCACATTGGGAACAAACCATAACCAGGAAAAACAGCCATCTTACCTGGAGCAGCATGATATGCAGCTGGATGACCAGGGATAAGCCCTGGAGGTGGGATGGCTATAGATTTCAACTGTCGTTCGATTCTTTCTTTGTCTTCCTTCAAATTCATTCTCTCTTTCCGAAGATCATTCTTCTCTGCCTGTTGAAGAATTTATGCAAGCAATTTATGTCAATATCTGTTTCAATTTGTGACAATGTCATGCAAGTGGAAATGATAGCTAACCTTTAAGCACTCGACTTCTTCTTGCAACTTTTCATTAGTTTGTTTGAGCTCTTCGGCTTCAGTCTTGAGTTGATTTAACACTCTAATGGCATCATCAAGAATGGCCGGCTTGTTATTTTTGGAAGGCCTACCAGGTTCTAAAGCAATACTTAAATCTAGAAACCTGCACAAATTACCAACGAAAACAAAAGCTTTACACTTTGCTGCATGTCCTACGAACAACTGAGAGAAGCATTAACTCATCCTCTAATATCCCACAAGAAGTGCAAAATCCAAACAAGTGATTCGAACTTTGAATTCCCTTTTGGATAGCAAAACATATTCATACACAACAGAAATACCATCAGGCTTGTCCCCCCATCATACTCATCAATAAAAATGGATGAAAAAAACACGAAAGATTATAGATGCTTGCCTATCATTTAATCTCTCTCTCCTCAACCTCTCACGACAAGCTTTTGAAGTTGGTCCAGCGCACGACCCATCTCGAGCCCTGAGAATTATTCAAGCGAAAAGCTTACAGGTAGATATAAGTGAAAAATTAAGGAAAAAGTTCACAATAGATCGCTTATTGACTAAGAAAAATAAATTATGCTAAAAATTAAGTGAACCATGGGTTATGTTTATTTCCCAAGATACGAGCTATTTCCTACGGAAAGGGCTAGAACCACAAAAAGAGAGAACAAGTTGGCTAAAATTGATGTTTCCAAATCTATCAGCAACAATAAGGTCATCAATTCATGAGTAAGCCATTGACAATTCACTTGAAATATTTTACTGAAACCTAAAGTAAAACGCTAGGTCATGGATTTTCGAAAAACATGTCTTTAAGAAGCATAGAAACATAAACGGGGAGAACTGAAAGAAGTTGATATCGCTGCAGACCAAAAGAACTACCTCTTCCGCGAATGATCGTTTTGTTCAGATTCAACACGCCCGGCTGAAACATCAGTATGCGCGCAACTATCCCTGCAAACGAAACGAAATCCCTAAATTCGTGAAATGCTCCGTTCAATCAAACACGTGAAACAAAGAGTAGTTAAAAGGAGAACAAAATCGAAGAAGAGGAGAGGAAGGAGAGCAATGCTGTAATCAGTGTTGAAATATTGCCTGGAATCACTAGGAGGCCACAAAGGATCGAGTGAAGGGTTAATGATATTGTCGCCGTCGACGAACAAGGAGTAATCAAGAAAATCCCAACAACTCGAGTCCTCTAATGGATCCATCTGATCTGGAATCAAAGCGTCGTCGTCGACCGCAACTCTGATCCGAACTTGAATCTCATTTCGCGATCAAAGCTTTTGGGAAATGAGAACGAAGAGATTGATAAATCCATGGAAAATTAGGGAGTCGAAAAATGGAAAAAAGATGATCGCGGATTGGAAGAACCAGTGAGAAAGGAACACGTGTACCGCACATTGACCCCTCGATAGAGGGAATCTCGAATAAAGCGAAATTTTACCGCCGCCGCGTTTGTTTATCTAGTTGGGTATCATTGTCTGTCCCACCTGGTTGATCCGCTGCGTACAGCACCACAACAAAATTGTACAACCGCATCCCAACCTTTTAACAAAGAAATAAATTTAAAAATATCGATATATAAAAGATTAAGTCTAAACAAATTGAAAAAATTAGAAAAGACACGAAAAACACGCTTACTTCATAACAATAAAAACTAAATCGAAAATCTTCCATCCATATTTGATAAGGGTTGAAAAACATCAATTTTGAGCTACTAAAAAAGATCCCATTTAGAAGGATAGAAGTTGTGTTTTTCTTAAAGTTTTTAAAACGTGTCTAAGAGGTTTTCACACCCTTGTAAATAATGTTTTGTTCTCCTCTTTAATTGATGTGACGCTAGGGAGAGATTTCACACCCTTATGAATAATGTTTTGTTCTCCTCTTTAATTGATGTGACGCTAGGGAGAGATTTCACACCCTTATGAATAATGTTTTGTTCTCCTCCTCCTGTAAGATAGATGCTAGAGTTAGGTTTCCATACCTTGTCAAGAATGCATTGTTCCCCTTCCAACCGATGTGAGATCTCACAATCTATCCCCTTAGCGTTTTTAAAATTTCGAGGGGAAGTCATCGTTCTCCTATCCAACCAATATGAGATCTCACAATCCACACGCGACCACCCCTTGGCGTTTTCAAAATCTTGAGGGGAAGTCATCGTTCTCCAGTCCAACCAATATGAGATCTCACAATCCACACCCTTTTAACATCAGAGGGCGTGCGTTTATGAACGTAATTATCTTTAAATTAGTATATCTACGTATATTATTCTAAATGGAATTAAAACCTTAAAAAAAAAAAAAAAAAAAATCTGACTTGGATGGATAAGAAGATGGGTCTTGGGACCATAAAGAAATAAATAATGTCACCACTTCCCATGGATCAGCTAGAATTGGAAGTACCAACTCAACCATTTCCCCATGTGATTTAATGTGAATAAAATATAGTTTAAGATAGCCATCACTTCTGATATCCAAAAAGAAAGGGATAGATATCAAAACCAAAGCTTATCCAAGAACCAAACAAAATGACACTCTTTAGCTATGGATGAGGGAAACAGAAACCGTGTTATTCAACCTGAATAATAATTTTGTGATGTATTTATTCGCATCTTGAACATAGAACGGATAGAAAAAGTGAAGCATCAAATGATCAAATGACATGAGCTTCATTTTTAAGCTTGTCAATCAGTTCATCAACAGACGACAATACGACACCCGCTTTTCTTTTCGGAGGTTCCGTAACTTCAACGACCTCTAAATCTGGCTTCACGTCCACATTTAATTCCTGTGGAGTGAACTTCTTTATCGGTTTCGATTTCGCTTTCATTATGTTTGGGAGCGTAGCATACCTTGGTTGATTCAGCCTCAAATCAGTTCTGCATGACAACCCAAAACAATTAGTTCCTTGATTGAAGATATTTAGATCTATGGAGTTTTATAGGCAACTGGTTTTATGAACTCTCTAAGAACTCAACATCAAGGATCGCTAGACTTCTAAAGGATGAGTAGTTTTCAGCATCAATATTTCAACCAATTCGAGCTCGAGTCCAAGGAAATCTGAATCTGAAATATCGACATTTCAAATACAAGTTCGAGCAACTAACGTGATTACGGCGGGTAAGTCCAAACAGAGAGTCTCAAGACCACCATCTACTTCTCGGTCCACTGTCACTGCCTGCTTCTCCTTGTCTATCACAACCTACTGGAAACAAGGAGCAGAGTCATATCAAAATTCTCCACACAGCAGGCAAGGTAGTTTCAAGCAATGTAAAAATGAAGAGAAGCACATAATCATTCTCATATTCTCTTGGCACCTAATTGCAAAATCTAAGAAAGGTTATACATAATAAATACGAAATTGTACGTGCCAAAAGTCGGATGAAGTTTAAAACGATTTTGAGGAGAGATTGACCAGTATAAATTAGACAGACATTGAAAGAGAACTTCGAGTTTCATTATGCAGAGATGAAACGTACACGATGACATTTTGGGCAAATTTTAAGTTCCATGGGCATGATAGCTTTAGCACGACAACATGAACATCATATCAGTAACTTTCATGTTCCATTGTTTTAATAACTATGGGTATCCACGCCGATCCTAATACATTTGGTATCAAAAAATCTCAACAGATCATGTTTGAATCTAGAAATACCAAATGTCAACCTGTAACAGCCCAAGCTCACCGCTAGCAAATATTGTCCTTTTTGGGCTTCCCTTTTGGACTTCCTCTCAAAGTTTTTAAAACGCGCCGGCTAGGGAGAGGTTTTCACACGCTTATAAAGAATGTTTCGTTCCCCTCTCCAACCGATGTGAGATCTCACAATCCACCCCCCTTCAGGGCCTAGCGTCCTCGCTGGCACTCGTTCTTCTCTCCAATTGAGGTGAGATCTCACACAACCCATGGTGAGTTATATCTATAGATTTCTTATAAATTTCTTAGTAGTTGCTCAAAATAAACTAAAGTACTTGACCACCACAAGAAAGACATTTTATAAATGAAGAACCTGCCTAACTCAAACCTAATGGATGCAGCACCATGTACTAAGCAGTGGATATTGGAGCAGAATCTCCAAGTACTCAATTAAGTATTCTTATTGCTGCATGAATCATGTAAAATGTATATGCTTCAAGCTAACCTTCGAAGCAAAAGTCCCTTGAGGCCAGTTCAGAAGACCTGCAACCATCTGCCCCGTTTGATTACAATCATCATCAATAGCCTGCAATTCCAGAGTCAGAAAGCTGAAAATGGATATCAACATACACAAGAACAAACAACCGAATTCCACAATCCTAAATTCCAATGACATATTCCCCATCATCATGTCATGACCCATATGTAAATGGTCCAAGCAAACAAATGTTAGGATAACCAGCACCCAGATTTATCAGAAACACAAATCAACAAAATTAAAGCCCAATTCAAGATCCCCAAATTTATCAGAAACCCAAATCAACAAAATTGGAGCAACTAATCCCATGTACTCAAAATTGAAAGATGACCTGTTTGCCTAGTAAAAGAAGCCCAGGCTTCTCAACCTCAATAAGGGCTTTGAGAAGCTTAGCAACAGAGAGAGGGTAAAGGGGTGCAGTGGCTTCCACATGAATGCCCCTATCAGCACCCATCGCGAGGCCCGTCCTGAGAGTATCGACGCACTGAGCCGGACCCATACTGACCGCCACGACCTCAGAAGCCAAGCCAGCTTCCTTGATACGCAGGGCTTCCTCGATTGCAATCTCGCAAAAGGGGTTCATCGACATTTTCACGTTCTGGGTCTCAACGCCCGTCTAATTTTGCAGTTTCAAATGGGGTGAGTCGTCTTCTAACAAAACAAATCAAACAATGCAAAATTATAGAAAATAAACTGAAGAATTGATGAATTCGATTCTTACTCTGTCCGCTTTCACTCGGATTTTAACGGCGTAATCGACGACTCGCTTAATGGCGACCATGATCTTCATCTTGATCGTTGTATTGTGTATCGCTGAGGGTTTGTTCTTCGCTCTTTTGGTGGGGAATTCGAGTTCGCCACGGAAAGAAAGAGAACCAGCTGTTTGAAATCTCTCTGTAAACGAAACTAAACAAACTTCAAACTTAATATTCGGCAAGAAACCTTTCGCTATTATCTCTTTTCTTTTAATTACTATTTATTCATAAAGTCGAATACATGTGATCAAAATATCAAATTTATAATTATTTTTTATGAATAAATAATCATTATCATTTTAATTAATTCATAAACTTATTAAATATGTTGATCTTTGGCACAATATTACTCATTCTTGTCTTCAACTTATTAATAAAAGAGTTTTAATTAAAAAAGAAAATGGTATAGCAAGTGGATCATTTGGGCCGAAATGAAAACGAATTTGTTGTTGGGTCGTGTCGGACAAGACTTTAAGAACTGATCCATTGATGAACGAATAATACAAATTATGAAGCCTGTGGGAGTGTCTTATAAATAGTCACCCATCGGCCATTGTCGCTGCACTCCCATAGCGGTTATGTTGCAGCGTCACCTGACGAGTCCATTTAAACACGAGGACTTAATTGTATAAGTGATGAAAAACTTGAATACCTCAGCCGCTACAAATAGAATATTAAAAACAAAAACTTCGTTTTATATACAACAATTTCACCGTCCATTTGATGAGATCAAAACCCAACACAGTCCATACTCGTGTGTTGACAATTAAAACACAACATTTAATGTCAAATTGTGTGTCCTCCCACCCTTTCCCTTCTTTATTAAGAGACCAAAATCCAACACTATTCCAATACATGGGCTAGGAGGTAATACCGCACATCTATGCTGCCAATACTATCCTTAAAAGACCCCGTCTTAAAGAATATCCTTCAAGGCACTCGTCTCTCAACGTTCACCCTCGCTCATGTGTCACTGGTTAACTCACTTGCCACAACGTCTAAAAAATGGTGAAAAACTGACATCATGCCTCCTCCTAAAATAAGTAATATATTTATTATAATAATATATTTATGGAAATGTGGAGTGTGGTGGATTAGAATCTTCGGATATTCTATAATTTGGACACGTGGCCCTGAAAGCAGGACCATGGTGGTTGGTAGGGGTGTCATAATCTGCCACGTTCTAAAATCTGTAGTGGGGGAGGATCGAACTGGGCAGACCAGGTCAGCACCGTTGACAATGTCAAAACAAATTTAGTTAGCAGATAATTATAATTACAAAGAGTAAATGTGAAAAGAAAAAGAAAAAAGCGGTCAATCTTCTCGGTTTAGACCGTATATAATTTCATGAAACATCCAAACGACACGTAGTCCAGCTCCCCTCTTTCTAGAA